GTGCGCGCAAACACGAAAGACACTTCTACGACACTTGCACTTGAAGCAGGACAGGCTGCAGGTAGGAGAGACAGAGATCTGACAACACTATTTCAAATGACCAGGTTGCTATCTGGGATGGAAGAGACCAACACAGCACAGATGAAACCAGTGCGAGATAGTGAAGGAAAGCTAGTTACTAAAGAGGAGAAACAAAGGAAACATTGGGCTGACTACTTCAAAATACTCCTGAATCGACCACCACCACCATCTGCAACTCATCCAGTAAACACAAGCCTTCCAATAGAAGCTGAAGTGAAGTCGTGAACGCTACGAAGCTGCTGGCATCCGGGAAAGCAGCATGACCAGATGGAATTCCATCAGAGGCACAGAAAACAGACACAGAGACAACAGCCGACATGCTCACACCACTAGTGTAGAAAGTTTGGAAGGGAGAAAAGATACCTTCCGAGTGGAAGAAAGGCTGCCTTGTCAAACTTCCGAAGGAGGGGGACCTATGTCTTTGCAAGAACTGGCGCAGCATCATGCTGCAATCCTGTCCACCCAAAACAAGCAAAATATTATGCCGCATCATCCTGGAGAGACTAACAGATGTGCTGCATTCAAAATTATGACGAGAACAGATTGACTTGCGGAAGTGCAAATCATGTGTGGACCAAATCGCAAGGCCACACTATACATCAACATAAAACAGAGAGTAGAATAGCAGTCAACTCTCTATCTAAACTTCATCCACTTTGCAAAGACCTTCGACAGCGTCGACTGAGAAGCAGTTTGGCAGGCAGATGCGTCGGCACCAAGGTTTCAGTGTCACAATCACTATCAACCTCTTTCAACAGCTATATGCCATACTTCTATGATGCTACATGTCAAGTGATCCACAATGGAAAGATCAGTGAAGACAGGAGTAAAATAAAGCTGTCTACCGCCATCGGTTATCTTCCTGATTGTGGTCGACTGGACGGGATCATGCAGCAAACCGTGAGGAGTGAGAAGATGGGCATACGCTGGTTGGACCGATGGAGATCTATACACTCAGCATAAAACGTCAACGACATCCGGATTTTCAACACCAATGTCAAGTCAGTGCTGCTGTATGGTTCAGGAACTTGGCGCGTTACGAAAAGGACTTCTGACAAACTACAGGCATACATCGACAGCTGCCTACGCTGACCCGATACTGAAGATCAGATGGCCAGAAAGAATAAGCAACAAGGAAATCTGGCAGGCTGGTAACGAACCAACGAAGAAGCTATCGCCCAACAAGTATCCAGAAGAAAGTGAAGGTGGATTGGACATACACTGAGAAGGCTGATCGTGGACATTACGCACCAGGCGCTTGAGTGGAATTCAGAGGGGAAACGGCGAGCTGGGCGTCCGAGGGTGATATGGAGGAAATCATGTGAGGAAAAAATGAAAGCTTGTAGGCAGTCGTGGCGTGAGGTTGAAAAGACTGCAGAGAAAAGAGTGCAGTGGAGGCGTGCTATTGAAGCCCTGTGTTCCACTAGGAACCCAAGGGAAAAATAAATAATAATAAGTCCTGTCGAAATTCGTCAAGGACTTTATCTATTTTTCATTACACTAAGGTATACCAATCCTCGAGTGGAATCCCCATGGGAAGCGACGAGTTGGACGTCCGAGGGTGACATGGAGGAGGTCGTGCGAGGAGGAAATGAGAGGTTGTGGGCTGTCGTGGAACCAGGTTCAAAAGATCTCAGAGAACAGAGGTCACTGGAGGCGTGCTACTGAAGCCCTATGTTCCACTAGGAACCCAAGGGACTAATAATAATAATAAATAATAATAAGGTATACCAATATTTATGTAGATTTCCGGACACATACATTGAGAGAAAAGATAGTACAGCGTACCTTAGATTCTGTTGGACGGTTTGGGGAGCTTACATCTACGTCACTATCGCTCTGAACACGGTGGTCCCTCAACCTCTACCTGATACAGGACATTGGATAGACATGATTAATTATATTAGGATATTACACTAAATGAAAAACTCAATCCTCCTGAATGTCGCTCAGGCTATAGGAATGAACTGCCTCGAAACAAATGTATGCCTTCAGGAAGAAGCTTTTCGTCTAACCACCATCCAACAGACCTTTGTGGTATGGTAACAAGTGTTCCACCAGCATCGCTCGTTCGGTCATTGTGATATGCAAGCCCGCCCACCACGTCAAGGTAACAGCTATCAGTCGGGTAAGTAACTGATAGAAAGTTAGTAAAATGGAAAGCAACATTTTGGGTCGTTGACCGATGAGAAAAACGTTTGGGCATCATAACTGATATGTAGTGCTCTACAACCAGAATGAATCTTAATGGACAATCACCTACTTCACAAAGTCACTCAGGATATTTCATCTTCACTATGGTGCATTTTCATTCCCATGAAAACTGTATATAGATGGTGCATTTTTGTTAAATAAGGTCATACCTGCAGTCAAATGGTGGACTTCATCATCTGTTACTTTCATGGCCCAATGAACTTTTGTTATCGTCCTCAGTTCAAGTGTTGTATGGGCTCAGTATGTTGTTTACTTTAGATTCTTACTTAGCTTCTTCTTAGCTACTTACTTCTGAAACATATTCTTCACTTTTAGTTGATTCAGACACTTTCATTCAGTCATATCTTCATTCAGTTAACATAACGTGTCCAGATAGACTGCTTTTATCTGGCTACCACTAGCTCATTGTAGTTTGCTTGTTTTTTAAGTGACTTATCTATATATCGGCCTATTTGCTGAGTTATATGTTTTAAGTTTCTCTCTATTTTGGTCGCTACTCCTGTCAGTCTTTTGAAGATATTCAGATGCATTACATATACATATGTAATTTCAATAATTTCGTTTACTTTGTTAACTTTCTTCTCATCTTACATCATGATTTGCCATTATGCTATAACTATTTCTATCTGTCTCTGCTGCTGACCAATATTCTTTTTCTCCCATCTAATTCCACTGTAGTAAATTCCGACAGAACTCTGCATTTTGATATCCTATATTTCCAGAAGTCAATAGGACATAAATGAAATGAAATGGAATAGTTATACCCTGGTCTGATCGTTCATGCTTTTTTCAAAATGTTCTACGCTAGTTCGGCAAGCACAAATAAATTGTCAACAGTATTTTTTGTTACAGATAATGTGTCTACTTACTAATATTATAAGTAGACTAAACATATTAACTGCATTAAAGATAGAGATCTCATGACTTCTCGAGCAACCTGCCAGAATCTACACATCCTTTTGAAGTTTTGCAATCTGTTGACAGTAAATTGTTCATTTGGGATTCAAAAACCTTAAACAGCAGATTGAAGTGATATAAGCATCGCCCTTTTCATCTCATCACTCAGGGTTACGTAATGTGGATGCATCTTTATTACGAGTTTCCACTCCTAGACAGTCCTACAGAAAATAAGAAACGACGGTGTAAGAATAGAATGCGTGCGTTATATCAGCCAAAAAGTGGAAAATGTGAATCTCAGATGAGTGTCACCATTTGTACTGATTTATTGATCTTAAACGTTGTCGTATATATGATCCAACCGGTAAGATCACTATATAGCTTGGCTCAATAGCTTTTTATTGACCCCTCATGGGTTTCTGTATGACCTATATTTCGTAGTAAATAGATTTCCATTATCCCATGTTTTGTGCCTAAAACCAATGGTTTCATTTTTATAAACTATAGTGCTTTGGTAATCAGATCCTCTGAAATATACGGACATTAAGCACCAGACTTTGTGTTGTTATAAGCAGTTGGGAAGGAAAACTTACGTAAATTGAGTATACAAGACTGGGCCAGTATAGGCGGCTAATAGTCGCGTTCAAGGCCAGTATTAAAACCGGCAGCCTAACCTGCGTAAATCAGACAACCACAACCAGACAAGGTTATAACAATATCAAACCTATAAAGAATGAGCATATATATCTCATTGACTCCATCACTTAACCCAAGGGTTATTTTCGCTGTCATATTGATACACGAGAAGTTAACATATACAAAGGCATTTAGATGGCGTTTTGCCATCATATTCACTCCTGTAAAATAGGCGGCGATTTATCTTTATGTATGCAAGTCTCAAGAGTTTGTTTTGTTCCGTTACAAAGCTTCAATTTTTTGAAACTGGAAGAAAAATACACCAGGACGCTGAGGTTTCATGACAACCTTCAAATTATCTTTCACTTATGGTGAAGTGACTGAATGCACGGTCTTATGGTATGATCCAAAGCCTAAGTTGATGAATTCATCTAACGAACCACTTCAGATAAAAGACGTTTTCTAATGTAGAAAGTCAGATGAGAAGTCAGATAGGAGAATCTTCAGGGTAGTTGGTTTAGGATCTGATTTCGAAAACAGAAATCAGTGACTACAGATCTCATCCATCTTAAGAAGTGTGGGTCTTCTGTGTATGTGAAACCTACAAAACGCATGAAATCAGTGACTTTGGATCTCACGTAACTGCTTAAAGTTAGATCAAGCCATACGATATGAATTACTTAATCGCCTACGTTAGGTACTTTTTTATCAAGTTACAACCATATCCTAAGACGCCGCCAAAATATTTCCTGTATCTGTCTCTTGATGCCACATATATCTCTCTTTCAGTCTGCCAGCTGAAATCACTCCCAAAAAGATAGGTATCAGGAAACTAACCCTACAATTCTATCCACATCAACGTAAATAGGTAAAAGTTGGTGAACAAAACAAGTCACCATTTCAAAGCTTTTTGCACTCATCAGTAATTTATTTAAGTAGTATAGAAGAAAACTGACTAAAATAATACATAAAATACATGTAAAAACTTGAAACAAAGAATTGGGGAATATTTCTGTACAGATTTGGGTATGAAAGGATATTATACAAATTCATTGGCTAACTAAAGTGAGATCATAAATTCATACTCACACACACTTATATACACATTTATCTTATTTAATAAGCTTCTGAAGGGCTAACAAAAAAGAATACAATGAAAAGTCAGAATATATTCAGTCAAAGTCACGATAGATTCTAGGCACATAGTTATAGAAGCACATATTATATTCTGGAAAACATCGACATCTATGATGTCGTTTAATTTCTTCACTTCCAGATGGGACTAGATTCATATGATTCCATTCTGTACATCCCATTTCTTGGCATAATTTGAAACACTCCTTAGGTGTTGGTACTACACACATGAAATTTCCAGTAGCTAATTAAAAAAGTGGAAAAAAAGAGAAGGAAGAGAAGAAATATAAAAAGATAAATTATGATAAGTTGTGCAATTCATTGTTAGCATTCAAGGTAATCAGATATCAAGATTAACAGAAAGGATTGGATTTGTTAACAGTTCGAGTGCCTGATAAATGATCACAGCAAACCAATAGCTGTTAGCCTAGAAAAGCCGTTAGTTTAAGTCTAAAGTCTCAGAGGGGATGCATAGATCTACTGCATGAAATTGCAACCAGGTGTCAAATGAGACCCATTATCTCAAGCTTGAAATCGTAGCTTCTGTTGAAGAAAATTTTGACCACTAGTCAAGTTAAGTTCACAAACTGTTGAAAAATATGGATAATCTAGCCTAAAAATTTAGAAACAAGCAGTAGAGGATTTCACTCTAGAATGGAAAATCGTTTCGCTTACATTGAACCGCCTACCGTGTCTCTTGCGGTTATAACATTTGATGTGATTACAAAAAATGGTTTTCCTGCAAGGTATTCCCTTCCACGTATATTGCCTATTACTTTTCAAATATGAATTTTTTCAGCTAGTGATCATTCGGTTAATGATTTAGTCTTGTGGGTTTTAATCCCTGACAATGTGTAGAGTTTTCCAAAAACCAAAGTCAAAACTCTCAAAGAGCATGTTGTCCTTTTTAAATATCTAACAGCCCTGTTTGAACAGTTTGCAGCACTAATAACTTAAACAGAAGGAAATGAAGCAGCTGGGCAGTTGTTTCAAACTTCCATCGACTGATGGTAAACAAAATCTGGACACGATACAAGTCGCCAGTCGATCACTTATTATCTATGGCCAAGTGTTTTGCTGACAAATGAAGCATTATAAGCGGCCGAATTTATTAAACGACTAACTTCAATATGCATAGTTAAAAGTTGTCAACAGAGATACAAACATATAAGTTTCTTTCTTGTCGATACTCATCAAAGCCTATAGCTCCTCGAAGTTCTGAGTTCATTTGTTGCAGTTCAGAACACCGCCTATCATTACTTTCAAGAACTTCAGAGTATGTCGACAATGATATTTAAAGCCACTTAGATGATATGGACAAGTAGTGAGATAGTAAAGAAGAATTCTAGCATAGTATGAGAATGATAATTATTTGGTATTCTACAAGCTTTGAGCTTTGTTCTTGAACCTTTCATCACCAGACTAGACAACTTCATCAACATTTACTTCGTCTAGAAGTGAAGCACAAATGTTTATAAAGGATGTTAGCAAACCTTGATCTCAAGGTCATATAGGTGAGTACTACTACTACAATACAATAAAAAAAATATCTGTAACTTGTTATTGCATACTGAAATGATTTCTGAAGTAAACTAGCAATTCCTTACACAACAACAAAGCACACATCAAACTGTCTCCTCAAATAAATAAAAACACTCAAGCGAGTTTCTTTGAGAGGGGATACTATCCGAACGGACAGATAGATATCTGACCGATAAATATTTCCGTTGCAAAATGTGGTCTTTATATCAAAGCTTAACTATGTAATGGTTAAATCAGACTAGGTGCTCAAATTCTCCCAGAACAGTCGTAACAACTATGGACTCGATGTTGATAATAAAATGTATCATTCACATTTTACCGATCCATTATTAATCTTGGTCAAAGGCGACGTCATTCACATGTTATCAGCCCATCACTAACCAGTGTCTGAGAGGACTATTTTTCTACATTAAACTTGGCTATCATTGGAACAATAAAATAACTAATGTAAGTAAATGTTTTCAGCTAGTTTGCTTTTTTCTGGAGCAATAAATCTTGCCTCCCCAGGTTTGTCTACTGTGCCTTTCAGTAATGCGGCGACAGTAATTTCATGTGTCAAAGTGTTGTGGCTGTATAATGACAGTTTCTAATCCCCAAAAGATTAATTAGGAGGAATCCTACCCCCAACCGGGCATTATCCAGTTACATCAGAAACTAAGTAAACTACATGTCACTGGAGTTTCAGCTGGAACTATTTCTACGACTTCCTTTACTTCAGCTTACACCCTTGACTGACATTTCAAATGTTTCGATCTGTGGAAAAGTGATCCCCTTTTATTGATACGGTTTGACCATTGAAGAGGAGGCAAAAACATGGGTTGTGGGAGAATTCAGACCTGCAGCCTCAAGATTATGAACTGGGCGCACTACCAACTGAGTTGCGATACCCAACTGCTGACTGGATCGCAGTTCCACTTCAATCACTAAACGCTTTCCCCAGCTACGCATTATGCAATCACCTGGCTGTCTAGTAGGTTGAAATCTTATAGTGATCTGGGTCTACAATTCATCGTCTATCAGTAATACCAATCTATCAAACCAGAGCCATCTCAGATTATTATATCAGCTTTTGTAATAGGATAAAATTTTCAATAGAGACTATTCAAAAAGATGCTACGACCCAAATTGATGAAAGTCTACTTCGATTCTTAAGAAAGGAAAGAATGAATGAATCATCAGCGCCAAACTATATGAGCAACTACAACCATATGGTTACCTAATTTCTCGATCATAAGGTCTCCCAAAAGTACACAAAGAAGATGCTCCTCTGTGCCCAGGTTCGGTTGTAAACAATTCACCATATGATGCTGTCACCAAATGCCTGTCGTATACCCTCAAGTCAGACAGAAAACAGTTAAATAGTCGTGGCATGTTAGCTTCTTTAAATTTTGTCGATTCAGTGAATAATACCAGTCTACTCAGTAAGCAGATTACTTCTCCCTTTACCTATGTTCCACTTAAAGAAAACATTTATTTTCTATATGGTTTGTTTGAAAATAATAATTTCCAGCTGGGTATCTCTAAGCATCGTTTAAATGAACTGTTTATTAGATTCACTTTCAATGTTCATTTCAAACTCAACAACGAGCTATGCAGACAAAAAGACCGGGGAAAAATAGGGTCACCACCTGACTTGCTTCTTCAAGACTGCTTAAAAGTAGTGTGGTTCATCTGACAATAGATAATTTCTACCTAAACAGGAAACACATGAATGATGCATCCGACATATTGAATGAAAATACTAACATTGGGGCTAAAGCCAATCAGTTTAGTGGTTGTTATCGACCAGTCAGCGTCAACCCGGAGTTCGAAGAGAACTCGAAATATCTCATTCTGGATATTTGGTTAAAGAGGGAACGGAATGTTTATCTCTAGAGACCAATCTGTGGGAACCCAATATGGGGTAGGCAATACATGGATTTTCATAGCCAGACACCGTTGGGCAGAAAAAGAAAACAAATTCATTTTTAAGTTTCATGAATATCCATCCAGGTTTATTGAGAAGAATTTGAACTGCAAACAAAATACATAGGAAGCGCACATAATCCCAAAGAGTACTTTGTTCATGTAAGTTTATTTCAGAAGTGATACCACAGCAGAGATCCTGAAGAATCAGTTGTCCAAATAGTTGATAAAGACATTTCAGTTTGCCAAACTATAGATCTGCTTCCCTAGTCAGTAAATTATTTTGCGGTTCTGTTGCAGACAATGGGTCACTCTAGTATATATTCACAAGTTTATCTACTCCTGATGCTTTGGTTATGTAAGCCGCAGAAAGTGTGTACTTTACAAGAGCATATCAGAGCACTGTCCTAAATGGCTGCGGAGGGGAGAATGCGAACCAACTAACAGTTGAACATTTGGTCAACTCTGGATAAATAGCTCCACCACAGCCCCCCTTCCGTGTAATCAACAGAGACCAAAAAGACAGTTCAGAAGGAGTATGCTTTCAAAACTTGTGCACGGTAGAAACACTAGTAGTTTAATAATTCAATCCTGACCTCCTTGTCCAAAAGAAGTATGTTCAAGCTTTTATCTTGCCACTGCCTTAACCCTTCTCCTGATTTTCTAATTTCATTGGAGTTAATCTGTCAACCATTATCATCTTGTTTATCACCCTTGTTTCTTTCACTACTTTCTTTACATTTATCAAGTGGACAACCAGCCATTACATTTCATACTTATCAACAATTTCCAACCTGTCAAACTCTTTGTTTTTCCCGTCAGTCACATTGTCTGATAGATTGCTATGCAACTCCCCCCCCCCTCTCTTTATTTCAGTCTTGACATTGACCTAATGATATAACTCTATCCTATCGTTCATTACTTGACTATTATATATTTGTGATGTTTATAAATATGACTGAATACCTTTAGAAAACGACATCGTTGGAAAACTAAATTTCCTCCACTAAATTATCTGTCCTATTCTTTGTGATAAGTGATGTGAACATATGTAAGCATTTGGTTAGAGAAAACAAAATGTGGCGTATACTTCATAGAATATACGACACGTTTACTGAGTAGTCGAATTACGCACCGCCAATTCGCCGTACAATGAAATATGTGACAAGGATGATTGCAGTGCCAACAGCTAGTAATAATAACATACTAAATAATAACCAGAAGCCTTCTTCTTGGATATGCCATCTTACAGGAGACTGAAGCATTATTGCAATAGTGAATAGTGGCTAGCAGTAGGAACCAGAATGTGTGTTTCGTCCTGTTTGGAACTTGTCAGATGGATATGCCTGCATCCCAGTGGGTGGTGGTAGTCACATTGAGACTCTAAGTTAACATCACGGACTCCACTGCTAGATACTATCAACCAAATTATATTATAATCAATCTTCGGACAACATTGAAACATCCTCACTCAAGTCCATAAGCCAACAGAGATCAATCAATTCGGTCTTACATAACAATCACCGGGAAAGTAACACTATCAATAAATGTAAGGGATTCCCGAAAGTATCTTGTACAAAACCGCAGAGTTATACTGTGAGTAGTAAACGGCTATTTTACAATAAGACAAACATGTCAAGTTTACTTTTCAATGGTTTTTAAATAAAATGAATATGAATAAACCTTAATAAAAACCAAATAGTTGTGTTTGCACAGGCAAATACGCAGGCAATTTTTTTTGTATGACTATCTAGTTATCTGTTCTTCTTCATATTTACAAACTAGTGATGTGTAAGA